AACATAGCTCATTAAAGTCATGTTTTCTATATTTGCTTCATTTCTCCTGAATTATGTGCACAATTTACTATCTAAGCCCCAAAAATCTTATGTCTAATTCCTGGGTTGTGCTAATTTATACAGTACATTTGTATACCATATCTTAAACAACTGTTTAATACTCTAGATTTTTTTTTTTTAGATTTGATTCTACTGCTTATGGATTAGCTAATTGCAACTGACATAATCCTATCATGTTTCCTGCTACATTCTTTGCTGGAAAGCTGCGGGGAGAAAAAAATCAATATTAATTTGTTCAGAATTTCACTCATCTTTAATATTATCATTGACTTCATGCTCATGCTTCATGTAGATTATTTTTAAACAGCTCATCCATGTTCCCAGTTAAAAAACATAATTTCAAATTATTCAAGGTGAATAAAAGATAACATTAAAAAATAAAAAGATGCAAAATTTTAGCATTTTTTATTAGGGAATTCATGAAATAGAAAGGAGAATTAACTAATCATTATCAAATTCTTACATGCAAATTATTATATTGATTACAGTAGAAAAAGTACATAGGATTTATTTGTGAATATCAAATTTTTTTTGAATAATCAAAACATCATCACTATGATGATGATACAACCACTATGATACAACCCAAAAGTCTGGGTCTATCCTTGAACTCACCTAGGAATTGCATCCCAACTACTAGATCTGGTGGACTGGACCTGTCATTTCATGTCTGTGACATAAGCATAATCTCTGTTTTCTCTTACCTGAATGCAGGATTAAATCAGGTTCCTAAGGACACTATATTGCTTTATTGAGTAATATAATAAATTAGGATTCCACTGATATTGTTCACATATTGGAATAACAAAACATTAAAAGTGTCAAAATTTAAACATTTCTCCAAAGACTTTTTGTTAAGTTGGTGTCTGCTCCAGAAATTTGGGCTCAAATTATTCCATGTCTTGACAAATGCATACTCCAATTTACAGTATAAAACTTCCAGGTTCTTAGCACAGGAACTTAATGCTCTCTTGAATTGTTTTCTTTTATCTCTTTGGAATTTAATTCTAAAGAATTTTGAGACACCTGCAGTAATATCTTCAAAAGACTTTCTTTGGAATCATTCCAAATAAAATAAATATTTCTTAAGTGGTTAGAAGTTTTCTTTGAAGTCGTGAGCATAGAAATTTCATATATCCCCACAATGCAGAATAACAACTCCCAAATCAAAGGGGAGGGTGTTGAGAACACAGTTTCAGTCTCAGTCTGTGACTAAATACTGAATTATCAAGGCAACAGAACTGACTGTGAAGTAGGGACAATGATAGATGATTACTCCTAAAGAAACTAAAAAAAGTGAAGTTCTACTGCTTAGAGACCATTGGGATGCCAAACAGTTGTCCCTGATAAGAAAGATCTAAGTCCTAAATGTCAATAAAGATCCTCAAATTATTAGAGGAGGAAGGAGGTATGAGATCCAAAAATAATGACTGACACATGAGAGGGAGTATCTGGGCCACCTGAGTCATTTCCAAGTTTCACCAAAGACTCAGAACTTCTTAGGATTGATGGTTCTTGATCTCAGCTTGGTATTAAATCATGTGTGAGTATTTTAAAAAAATATCAGTCCTTATGGAAACACCCAGGATTAAACTAATGAAATCTTTGAAGGCAGGGCCCAACATCAATCTGGTTCCTTTTAAAGTTCCTCATATTATTCTAATATGTAACATGGCTTGACAAGCAATGGTTTAAAGCATTGCTTATCAAAATTTTAACATGCATACAAGGCACCTGAGAGCATTGATAATATACAAATTCTTATCCAAAAAGTCTGGAGTAGGACTTGAGATTCTGATTCTAATAAATTTAAATATGATGCCAATATTTCTGGTTCATTGACCACAATTGAATAGCAAAGGTTTTATAACAGATTCTCAGCCTTAGTTGCAAAGTAAAATCTCCTGCAGTACTTTTGTCTTTTTAAGTAATCATATGGGCCTCAAGCACAGAGATTTGGATTGTGGCTTGGTCATCAGTGTTTTTAGAAACCCCAAGTGCAGTCAGTATCAAGAACTACTGTTCTAGGGGGGGGAAAATGACATGTATGTGTTCATCCGTGAAATAAAAGAAAAGTAAGTCAGAAGCAGAGAAAATGAGCAAAAGATAATACACCTAACTCATTTTATTAAATGATTCTGAGGTTATGTGAGTATGTTTTCTGAAATACTAGAAGATAACACATCTTTAAAGCTTAGTCTAAAAGATAAGCCATTTCCACAGTCTAAGAGAAAGTTATTTACTAACTATAAGCAGATGAAGCTTAAAAAAATATCTACTCAACTGTCTCTTTCTTATACTCTTAAACATCACCTCATTAGACAGAAAACACCTGAAGATATGAGATACAATTTACACTCTACTCTCTGTCCACTGAATCAGAGACATCCACCTTTCTGTCAAGCTGGGATGGACTACCCATGGTACCTTCCATTGTGTGCTCTGCCACCAGTTACCATTCTACCTCTGACAGGAATACATGGGGTCTGGAGAGATTTAATACCTATCACTATACAAGTGAAGGAGACAGGGAGCATATTGGTAGCAAATTTAAAACATAGATGCATAGATATGGAATGGATAAATCTTGCCAAGTTTAAAAATGAGCAAAGAGAAAAAACTTGGGTGTCTATAAAAATACTACAATCAATGGAGAATAAAAATAATCTTGACAGATCAAAGGAAGACCATATTTCTGAAAATTGCCTACTTCCTTATAAGAGGACATGTCTAGATATAGCTGAGGAATCTCAGTAGACTATAAAAAATAAAATCAAGAGAAAAATAAAAGTGATTAGGAAAGGATAGGAGAAAGTATAAAGAAAATAGGGTGATATTAGAACAGTTCAAGAAAACTAAAAATCAATGGCAAAATTAAACCTATCCTGAAAATAATAAAATGCAGAATTGGTACTGCAGATGATCAAAAGGTACCATAGGAAAGTAACTTTCAACTACAGAGGAAAGGGACAAAAAGCAGACACTGGAAATCTAACATGCAAATAATTAATATTCAAAATGAAGAGATCAAAGCAAATAGAATAGAATCAATAGAATAGGAAAATTTTTCCTAAGTGGAAAAATATCAAAGTATGTAAATTGGAAAGGCTTTTTTAGTATACCTACTATTAGATCTATCTCTGCAAGTTTTCTTAATTAAAGACACACAGAAAAATTGTCTATAAGCATTCAGATTTAGAAGGCATGAACCTAAAAGATGAAAAAAATGCAGCACTTAAACAGAATTTTCTGTAATATTCAGTAAAAACAAATATTGAACAAAGCAGTATCTATAGCTTTTAAAAGTGAAAGTATTGCCCCAGATTTTTATACAGTTAATTTATTTCATGTCTGAATTACTAAAGAGAGAATGTGGGCTAAGGAAGATTGAGAAACTATTTAAAACAGGAGAGGTTTCTGTTTAAAAATGTGCTGAAGACTGGGAATGTAGCTCAGTGGTAAAGTGCTTGCCTCATATACACAAGGCTCTAAGTTCAACACCCAGTGCTGCAAAAATAAAGTTGAAAAGGGAAAGTCAATTAGATTATAAATTATATACATTTCTAGAAATTATGAGAAAGAATTAAAAGTATTCTTTAGTTTATTATGAGAAATGAGGTTGGTTATGATATGGACATATAAGTCTGAATATTTAATAGAAGGGAAGTTAAGTGAGTTCTTTTGGATGATAGTTTTTCTCTCTGAGGTAGAAGACAAGACAATCTACTAAATGATGGTGAAAATAGGAGATGCCAGAAAATGGTGAAGGAGGTAGAAAAATAATTATTTTAAACACCAAAGAAATGCAATAAAATTGAAAGAACGTGTTGAAGGTTCCCTTGAGTCAAGAATATATAATGGTTACTATCTTCCCTGATGAATTATTATTTTCACCATGCTCTGTCTACTTATGAATGCAGAAAGGAAGTAGGAACATGGGAGAACTTCAACATGAGTATGGTTTTTAAAAGGGAGTAAAAATATGAATAAAACTAAAACAGAGGACCTAAGGTATTTAGAATAATGGCATAACTATCACTAAAATTATAAGCTATGACACTGGAATAGTATAAGGAAAGAAGAATAATTTGTGGATAGAAAAAAGTAGAGCGATCAAATTGTTGCCCAAGAAAACAAGAAGTAGAGGAAATATAGTCAGTGGCTGAGTTAAATTAATAACTTCAGAGATGGAGTACTTATAGGTGAGTTGGTGAGCTTAGCACAGTGGTGAAGAAGATCAGAATGTCATAGGAGTTAGAAAGGTCAAGGAACTGACAGCCAGACTCTTAGTTATGTCATACAAATGGGTTCTCATGGCACTCAGGAATTTTTGAAAACTACAAAAAGTAATACTTTGGCTTTATGTGCTTTGGAAGGATAAATACTCAAAATATTCAGGTCCTAAGAGTAAAATTTGGGTAGCCTTACCAATGGTATGAATGGGAACTTAACAAAGATATTTTCGACTGGATTTTTAAATGACTTAGAGCAATGGCCATTCTTTATATTAGTTATCCAGGTTATATACAACTAGAATTGGGGATGTAGCTCATTGGTGGGGTGCTTACATAGCTGGGCAAGGGCCTGGGTTCAATCCCCAACACTGTAGAAAGAAAGAAAGATAGATAGATAGATAGATAGATAGATAGATAGATAGATAGATAGATAGATGATAGATAGATGGATGATAGAAGATAGTTGAACAACTTTACTACTTTATTTTATTATCTATATCATAAAATTAATTCAATTTTCAATTTCACAAAGCAGATTAAAGTGAAAAACAAAGATCAAGCTTGTTCCCTTTTCTCCCCATTCTCCCAAAGTCTTTAAAATAGTATAAATGACTTTATGAGTATGAGGGATTACTGCTAATTATGTATTGCAGAGCAAGTACATTATTACAATCACAAATTCAATAAAACAAGAATGCTGCTTACCAAAAGAAGGTGACTCCCGTCCATCCTCTAACCCTGAATCTCTCTCTCTATCTCTTTTTCTGTGTTTGTGACCACGATGCCGATGACGTCGATGGCTTTTTCTTCCTCCCAGGGGCACATGAACTCCAATAAACAGTGTTCGATGACCTTCATTAGGAAGCAAATGCACACATTAAACTTTATACTTCTCCAGAGAACAGAAGATGATAATTTACATGTTAATTGAAACCAATTCAATCAATCCAACAAATCATTTTTGTGTTTATGACATATAATTATTGGGCTTGTTGCTGTATTTTAGCAGTACATTTAAATAAGAATACCATGGCTCTATCACAAATATTTATAATACTCATTATTTGATTGTATATTTTGAACCATCATTAATTTATTAACTATCTTATTAGTTAAGATAGTCTACTTCTGATACTTTCATCATATTCCTTTCATTAGGAAAAAAAATCTGTTCTATTTGCTCTCTACACTCAAATAACTTTGTTTTCTCACCAATTCTCTTCCTTTCAAAGTCAGTGTGTTAAAAAGCCACTATCTCTAATTTAAAAAAAAAGATTTTGCTCATCCTTCTACTAAGCCAAATCCTACAGAGTTTTTTTTTTTTTGGTTCTACTGTTTCTATCTGTGGCACTTGAATCTCATTGACTACTCTCCTCTCTGTGACATTACTTTCTCTTGGCCAACTCCCTCCTCAGTCTTTGTTTAATTCATATTAAGTCCATTGCCAAGGCTTATTCTATTTACCAGTTTAAGGTTTGGGATCTCAAGGATTCTATCCTCAACCTCATAATTATAACTATGCTGCATAATCTAGGACCTACATCTTAACTTCTCTCTTGGACTGGCAACCTATATATCCTCTACCTACTAGACATGTTCATCTAGATATCTTTCCTACAGGCATGTCAAATTCAACATGTCTTTGGAGTCCATCCTTGTCTGTTTTCCAAGTATCAATTAATTTATCATCTATCTCAGTAAATGTACCTGTCATTTCAAAGCCAATCCAACTGATTGCCAGGTCTTGACTCCTAAATATCTCTTTCTGATTTTTGAATGAATGCTTTCTTGCTATATCCTCACATGTCAGAAAGAATATCATCTCTCTCACATCTCAGCTTTAGGAGCACTAATTTCATTCATGAGGTTCTACCTTCATGACTTATTAGCTCTCAAAGGTTCCACTTCCATATTCAACATATGAATTTTGGAGGGGCCACAACATTTAGTCCATAGCATTCTGTCCCTGGCCAAATTCAAGGTCACCTAGACTTTATCTTTTCATATAAAATTTACAAAATAAATTTTCATAGAAATTATATAATTTTGTGATTTTCATTTAGATCTCTGATCTATTTTGTCTTAATTTTTAAGAAAAATGTAAGGTCTGAGGCTATATTCTAATGTAAATACCTAATGAATACATTCATTAGGTATTTACCTAAGTGAGTTAAAAATATATGTCTACTGAAAAAAATACCTGCACCCAAATACTTACAAGAGTTTTATTCAAAATTGTCAAATTAAAGTAATCATGTTTCTTCAATAGGTGGATGAACATACAAACTATGGTACATCCATACAATGAAGTATTATTAAGCAATAAACACAAATGAGCTGTTAATCACAAAAGGACACGGAAGAAGCTCATATGCATATTAAATGAAAAAAAGATAGTCTTAAAAAGCTAAACAATATGAGTCTAACTATATAACATTCTAGAAAAGATAAAACTATGGAAACAGTAAAAATATCAGTATATACACAGGAAAGTTATAAGGGTGTAGGTGAAGCACAGGGCATTTGGAGGGAAGTTAAACTACCCTGTCTGATACATGTCATTACATATTTGTTAAAACTCACATAACTATACAATGCAAAGTGAACTTGAATATAAAGGATAAATTTTAGTTAATGATGATTTATTACTATTGATTCAACTCTAACAAATGTACTGAGCTAATACAAAATATTAATAGGAGAAAGTATGTGCAGAGGGAGAGGAAATATACAGGAACTCTAGGTACTTTATGTGCAATTTCTCTGTAGACCTAACACTGCTCTAAAAACATAAAGTCTATTCATTCTTAAGAAGTCAAGATTCATAGGTGCTCATATCACGGAGTACGGAGAGAAATTTATAAGAAAAAAAAAACCAATAAGCAAATAAGGGAATATTTGTATAAGTCATCAAATTACATATGAGACAGTTGTATGGGGGTTCTCTTAAGAAAATAATAAAGCATTAGTTAAAAAAAAAGACTCATTTTCTCTGCCAAAGTGAACAAAATGCTTTCTCTCCCCCAACATTCACTGTTGATGCCCCAACCCTCACTGTGACTGGATTAGGAGACAGGGCCTTTATGTAAGCAATTAACTTTAAACGAGGTCAATAAGTGGCCTGGATCCAATTAGTGTTCTTTAAGGGAAAAGAGATTAAAGAGCTCCCTCAATTGCTTTCTCTCCCTGCACACAGAGGTACTGTGAGGACACAGCAAGATGGCTTCCATCTATAAGCCAAGAGAAGAGGTCTCAGAACCAAACCTACCTTACTTGAAAGCATCTTGATCTTGCATTTCCCACCTCTAGAACTGTGAGAAACAGATTTCTGTTGCTTAAGCCACCCAGTCTGTGGTGTTTTGTTATGGCAGTCCCAGCCAATTAACTCAGCAAAGAAAGCCTAAACCAAACTCCTTTTAAAAGACATATCATTAACATCATGAGATTTCAGGAACATTCAATGCATACCATTTAGGCTGACAGTTTTTCTTCAAAGAGTAAATTAATTTTATTGTAACAAATTTGCCTTCCTTAATGGCCATGTTTATACTTAATCTATGTAATTTTCCATAATTCATGAAAAAATAAAATAGAAAATACTTATTTTTGTGAGGCAGGATCAGAATATTTCCAAATTCTAGTAGGACTGGAAGTGAAATTGGCATTCTTCTAATCCTGGAGGAATATCTGATATTATACATATTTTAGTACAGGATATTAAACCTTTATAATTCTGAAGATAATTATAGCTCAATCCTCTGGAAAACTACAAGCTGAAAAATAGTTTCTATATTCAGGTTTCTGTCTTGTATCCATGTAGGCAAGTGAAAAAATGGTTATTGTCACATTAACTTAATACAGATCACGAAAATGCACATAAAAAGTTCTTTACTAATAACAAAGGCTATATTTTGGACAAGGAAATAAAGAGAAGTGAACTGATACCTGGTATCAGTATCTGGTCCTGGTTATTATTTTATTTATCACAGTATTACATTATGTTATATAAGAAATATATAACTTAAAAGTAGTAATTAAAAAGCGTGATCTGAGTTTGTGTAAAGTGCTCACTTCTCAATCTTGTTTCTACTATATATATAACTTTAAAAAATTCACTTTATATTTCTAAGCCAAGGAGATCATGGATAAAATGAAAATATTCATTTCTACATCACTTATAAAGTATTTTGTATAATTTGTAAAACGAAAGTTTTAAAACAGTTAAGTCTTATTTTAAGTCACACAATTAAGAAATAAATCTACTCAACCCCATTTAGAGTTTAAGCAGATCAGCAGAGCACAGGGAGTTTGGGGAAGTAACCACTTGCCACCTCCCAAGTGTTGAGGAAGAAACTGTTGGAAGTGTAGGTGACAATGTTAGCATCACCCGGAGAAAACATTTCTCCCCAGAATCTGGAAAACTGCCTTTCCTCCTGCAGCTCCTTTCTGGCTGAAGCATTTCTTGTCTAACTTAGCACTGCCTCTGTGATGGCACACTGCACCTTTCCACCCATAGCTAAAGAGAAATGCCAGGGGCAGGAATGCAGTAGGTGGTGTGATTTCAAAATAAGATGAGAAAAATAGTAAAGGCCAAAAAATTAACAGGAAAGAAGGTGACTGAGAAAAGATTAAGGTAAGCAAGATATGAAAGGATAGAAAAATAATTTTAAAAGAATAGCAAATTATAATAAAGAAATATATGAGTAGAGAATAAATAAATAGCTAACTTTTATGGAAAAAAGAGGAACTATAGAACAATAATTACATGTGGCATCCTTATCTATTTTATCAGATCAAGAAAAAGAAAAGGTAATATGTTTCATTATTTTTACAAGACATTTAATATATGTGAAGCTGGTAAATATTGTCTTTGTTGTTCCGTTTTCTACCCAACTACTGAAACCCTTCCAGTGAGCCAAAAAAAATCACTTCTGCAAGCACTCTTCACTTTTCTTGTTCAAACACACACCTCTTTTTCTGGAGGACACTGCTGCTCTACATCCTCTCAGTGAGAGTTCTCCTGCACTGTGAAAAGTGCCTCTCTCCCTCCTGGCTCTAGTTGGGTGAGTGGAATAGGTAAGAGGGTGCCCCTTTGTTCAGACCCTTCTCCTATACCTTCCCTGAAAGCCCTCAGATTTCAATTTCATGGTAGTTCTTGTCATTTACTACACAATTCGCCTCATAGTTGCTGTAATCTGCTAAAGCCCAGGTAAAACACGCTCCTCGAAGATGTTAGCTCCTTCCTTGGTGTCATTTTCTCCAGTATAACCCCTGCCTTAATCTGTCAGATTTCCAAGCACACATAAAGGATTCTATGACACTCTTGACCTTTCAGCTCCTTGAACACCCACTTTGCAATGAACCTGCAGTCCCACAACACCTCAATCTTATGCATTACACCATCTCCTTTCTTTATAACTCATAACCTGTGGTATCCTCAAATACATTTCAATCTCACTAAGACCTCATAAGAGCATCTGGAATATATGGAGTCTGAAGTTTTATCAAACTTTTTAAGAAAAATAATATAAAATTGTGAATATAAAATTAAGTATGGAAGTAAATTTAGACTGTTTTAGAAAGTTGACACATGACCCAAACCTCACACGATCAAAAAAAATTAATATTTCTCTGAATTAACTCTCCTTATAATATTTATATTTTTTGAGCTTAGGTTGTAGGTATTCTTACTTGCATGTGCCTTACACAAGACCCTGCAGCAGGCAGGATATGTGTACGTGTATGTGTGCTGTGTTCTCATGATCATACATTTTAGGAAAACATGTGTATATAAGATAATTAGCCATTAGTGCCTAAAAGCATTGTCTTTTTTCATTTCTCTTCCTTCACAC